CTGTTTATTTTAGAAAACTTATGAATGAAAATTCATTTCATAGGTTATATCTAGAAGTGGACAATGGTCAATGAAGGCATCCTTTTAAAAACTGCTTTGTTTGCTTTATGATGGAAGTACTAGTAAGTGAACTCAGAAACTTTGCAAGAACAGTGCTTGTCCTTATCCAGTGAACATATACAGTTCATATTGAGTTATTTATTACTATGTTTTGTGTACTCATATTTAATTATTGCTATTTCAAAATCTTTTACATTATAATGTAATTACAGCATTTCTCCCTTCCTTTCCTCCCTCCAAACCTTATAAAACCCATATAAACATACTCGCTGTCCTTCAAAATCATGGTCTCTTTTTGCATTACTATTGCATGTATATATCTATATGTATAAATGTATATATTCCTTAAAATAACCTGTTCATTCCATATATTGTTACATATATGTTTACGTACATAAACATATATTCCTAAGTATAGCCTACTCAGTCCATATCATTTTACCTGTGTGTATATGCTTGTTTGTTTGTTTTAAGCTAAGAATATATCATTATCATCACTTACTTTCAAGCAGCCTTCACCAAAGTGTCCTTTATTCCCACTAACTGTAACCCAGCCAGGCCTCTTCTCAGCCCCCTGAGTACTGTGAGTAAGGATTTCCTTGCTTTCAGAATCATGGTTAGTATTAAACTATCAGTTTTACAACATTACTTTTGATGCTGGCTGACTAACTGATCATAATGTACACTATAGAAGAGAGAAGTCAGAAACTAGATATAGGAAATGAGGACTCCTGGAATTATGCTTTTTATAAGAAAGAAATTATGAACCTAACATCATGAATATTTTTAATTCATAAATAACATGAATAAATATTTCTCACATTTAAATCAATATCACAACTGACTGCCCTACAGTCCTAAAGCTCATGGTGGATTTTTTTCCACGTATAATGTGAGTATTTTCCTATTTTAGAGACAGGAAAACCAATTTTATAGCCTTTCATAGTTCTCCTTAGGGCTGTGATCCATGATCTACTGGTGTGCCCTAGATCTTCCCTGTGAATATATCCAGTCTCTAACTAGACATATATTAAAGTTCTATCAGCTTTGTGTAGTGCCTGCTTACTTGACAGTTTTGTTCCACTGACTAGTTCCCTAGGCCATGATTCATCACCTGTAGCAGGAAAGGATTTCAGTAACAAAGAAGATCAGGGCCATCCATAGAGCAGGCAAACAAAATGCACAACTGGAGGTTTTTCTAGTATCCCTGTTGGGTTTCTGAGGTTTTGTAATTTTCCCTAGAAACCCACCCCAAATGATTTGATAAGATCCTCAACAGCCCTCTGTTCCCACACCATCTATGTAAGTATTAAATTCTTAAGTGAGACTGCCAATATTGCATGAAAAATAAATGTGCTGAGTCCAATTCTCCTTTCATCTGGCAGGAGCTGCATCAATAAAACCACTCAAGACATTCAGAAATATGTGGAGTTTTCCATGGGAGACTGCAGATCGATGAACACACAGAACTTGTCCTTGTCACCCCTGCTGCGGAGCCTTCTCTTCTCAGCCTGATGACACATCAATAATGGTGTCTGAGTCTCCGGCTACTGTTACAGACTATAAATGTCTCCTGATATTAATCTTTCAGAACAGGATTCCTGATTCCCCTGCTTGACACTTAGCCTAGCCCCTCATTCTTTGATAGACTTTATTAGTTCTTGAGTGTGAAGAAATCCACTTTAAAAACAAAATCAAAATAAAACAAAGAGAAACACTAAAATGAGCTTGCTGCAGTTTACAGCATTTCCAAAACTGTGTCTTTAAATTGATGGCAGCATTTTGAAAAGTTGTTTGTAAACTAAATCATCTGCTTCAGCCTTAGTTTAAATATTAACATGCAAAAACATGATTTAAAAACAGTGTCCCCTAAGAACATCACAGATCTTCCTCCTTTACAGTACACCATCCCCAAGAGTTGATAAAATGAGAATTTAGTGAAAAACACATCAAATTTGCTCAATTTCTTACTCTGTATTCAGATGAGGGCTTGCAATTTTTTTCATAAAACATTTTCTTGAAATGTGCCATATGCTGGACATTGTGCAAAAGCATGCACGGTAATGAGCAATGAGAATGTGTCACGTCAAGTGTCCCCAAAGCAGGTAAGTCAACCTGTTTCCAAACTGCCCAAGCTAAAGAAAGCCTGAGTGTTCACAGCATGACAGGGAAGGCACTGAGAAGGGAAAACCTTAGAGCTGGGGCTGAGGTGATGAATAAGGGTTTTGTTAGAGAACACAGAGAACAACAAAGAAGACTCACTACAGGAACATTAAGCATAACAATGTGTAAAATTCATGATGGGACAGCAGTTAGCTTCAACATAAGTGAGGCTGAAAACCAGGAAGCAATGACAGAGAAGTCTGGGAACAATTATGTACTATAATAATAACCTAACTTTTTAGACCGATTGTTCCTATATCAGAGTTATCTTCAGAGTTCCCGGGAGAGAATTTTAAGCATACATACTCTTTGATTCATGTCTAAAGATTCTAATTTGAAAGTAAAGAGTGAGGTTCATTGATACGATTTAAAAAAACATTCTAGGCATGATTATTAAGAAATAGACCACATCAAATGGAAAACAATGACAACAAAAACAAAAACAGCCTGAAGAGTTGGAGACAATCTGCTACATTCTTGTAATTTTAATAATCATCTTAATTAATTTTGTAGGAATATAAAGGAGTAAAATATCTCTTTGCAGAAAGGTCACACATGTGAGACATAGACAGGTTTTACTGGTCATATTCAAAATCTATTCAAAACTCTGTCTCTCTCCCTCTCTCTCATTATGTGTGTGTGTGTGTGTGTGTGTGTGTGTGTGTGTGTGTGTGTGTGTGTGTCCTGTTAGTTAATTTGTGTATTTAGGCTTATTCATTAATTAGTTGCCTTTACTTCACAATGTGAATATATGATGTAACAAATTTGGTTCTCTAGTTTCTTTGGACACATAGGACATATGACAATACTTGGCCCAGTTTCTAACTTGCTGACAATTGGCTGCAAGACCCCTCAGGTTGGATTTGCAGCCTCCAGGTGACACAGCCTTTACCTGCCACTCTTTTCACTTCAGCTTGAATCAGTTCTGACCTCTCTGGTTATTGGGGGTCCACATACGACGTTATAACCAACATTTAGAGGTTTTTCGGCTTAGAAGAAAGAGTGTAAATATTTCTTGTAGTTTTAGACTGCTAGGTATAACAGAGAAAGATTAAGTAAATGCGTGCCATGGAACTGTCAGGTTGCTTTATGATGTCAATGTGGGAATTTTGAGAACAAATAAAAGCAAGTGATAGTTTGAAGAAATATGAAAAAAAATGTCATTTTTTTTTCCTGAGCATGTAGTACAAAGGTTATGGTGGGGAATCTAAGTGCCTTTTTAGAGTTGTTTAATCAGCTTAATAACACTAAAAGTATCAGAAGATAAACTCCGTGAGGGACAGGGATCTCTATTGATTAATTCATAGCAACTGGAGTTATGCTGAGTACAAAGCAGATGTCCAGTAAGTAGTTTCAAATAGTCAAATAACAGATAAGTTAAAATTACTAAAATTGATCTTCTGAGGTGCCAACCAAGGTCATACAGGTCTTAAATGTTTTAATTAGAATTGAGTAATTATGTTTCTTTTATAACTTAGGAGTCTCCACTGCTTAATATGTGATTCTACATTTCAGTGAAGCGAGTCCTCAGACATATGTGTCATTTCTTGCCTGAGAGAAGGGAGTCGATTGCCATATGTCAATTCAAATGGTGCCAAAACTCCTTCTGTGCACTGTCTTGTTTCTGTTTTATTCTCTTCACTAGACAAACATTTTATACTATTTAGATATGCAAATTATTGTGTTGGTGACAGTGAGCTTAATAGAAGAGCATGATACAGTTTCAGACTCTCTGGAGCCTCCTAGAACTGCATTTAAAAATCACCCAATGCAGCATACCCTTCCCGGCCCGCCTTAAATCTGGTTTAATGTTTTGTCTGACAAGCTACAAAGACTCTACATAATTACAAAATGCACCCACAATGCAAATATCTGCTGAATTTTAATGCAACCCTTACTTGCCCCAAGATATTAATCAAATGAAATTAGATTTTTAGAATACTTTGTCGATGAGATGAGTTAGCTTAGCTTGGCTCCTTTCTGCCATCAACATGTATTAGGCAATCCCCCATTTGAATCTTATTCTGACCTTTCTCAACCTCACATCTTTGTGCTGATCAATATACCCAGCTCTTTTATGATGTTCTGACATTTTTTTGAACATGGGGAATTCAGAAAGAGACTATTGATGTTTATTATCCTGAAATAAATTGTATTTTATTAAGCATATGCTTATATTAAGAAGGAGAATGGGCAACTACATAAATGTATTAGATTTCTCCTTTCTTCATTTCATTGTGTTTTTCCCATTCTAAGGCAACTTGCAAGTAATATTACAAATCTATCAAAGCACAATAGGAATTCATTTTAATTTTTCTTCAAACCACTTTCCTTTGTACATTTTTTTAGTTAATATTGATGATAAATTCAGGGATGATTTCTAATAAAAAAAATTCAATTCAGATAGAAGACCTTGATAGCCATAGTTCCACAGTGCAATGAGAAATATGGACAGAAGTGATGCCTTGGCAAACATATAGGCGTGACTGCTTCTTTCAGGCTCTATTGCTAGCACAGACTAATCTCTTTCATGCAAGGACTCTGTTTTAAGATAAGACTGCCAAAGATCTCCTCAAGTGTTATTCTCAGATTGTGCATCATCTATCTTGCTGTTGGATCTCACTGCCTTTGCTGAACAGCACATATTAAAATTAGAACAACTCTCGAGGGAAGCCAGGTTCCAAACATGAGGCTGTGAGTCTGGCCAGTCACTAGACAGCATCCTGCATCCCAGACTCGTGACTCTTTTCCTGCTGCCAACTTGCTCAAGAGCTTCTCATTACACGGTAGACAGTGAGAGAAACTGTAAACCAGCAAATTAAGGCCAGAATTACAAGGGATGACATTTTATTTTATTCAGACTGAAGACTAAGTAGTTTGGAGTAACAGTGTGACTTTCTATTTCAGGGTATAGATAAGAAGACATGGTTATTTATGCAGAAAGTAAATCTCATAAACATTTACTATTTCACTCGGGAGTAAGGAATCTTCTCAATGCTTATGGTAAGTACATAATAATATGAAGTAATAATCTAGATATGAATAAAGAAGAAAAACAATATGCCTTTAATGATTGCTACTTTTAAATTATGCATAAGAAAACATTAAAAAGCACATTAAAATATTTTTTGATATATTACATTATGCTTATGGAGTTAAGAGTAATTTGATTTTTGTAAATGTTCGTAGCTATATCATTTTGATGCTGAAATACTGAGAAGTGACAAATATAAAATAAAATCCTGTACAAAAGATGATTAGTTTATCAATGGAATGATCCAGCTTTTGACATGGGTGATTTACTTAAATAAACACAAATACTGTTAGAGCAGTTTGAAAAGGGTGGTCTCCAGTTTCATGGCATATTTTCTCCAATAATTTTTTCAAACATTTCTATTTCAAATGTAGTGATCACAATTGAATATGATGAAAGCATATAATAAGTCAAGGCAAAAATTAAGGCAAATTTTTCATTAGAGGAGGATGAGAAAATGTAGGAGAAGCTTGTGTGAGGTATGATTGTATTTCAAGTAGCCTGGTAAATGATGACAAGAGAGTAATTCTATTAAAAGAAAGACAAAAGATATCCCAGATCTGTCTCATTTAAAAATGCTACATTCATAGACACCTTGGGGAATCAAATATAGGGGCAACATAAAGGTTATTTGAGATCCATTTGAGATTATGTCAGCTAAAGGAGCTGAGGGACTGGCAAGATAAAGACAATTTTTTTTGTTCCTATTCAATGCTTCTGATATGCTCCATTAAACTCATAAAAAAGAGAGACAAAGAACAACAGGAAATGGTTGGTTCATTTCAAGGTTTCTGAAGAGTTTCAAGAGAGCTAAGGGGCATCACGATGACATCTGGTATGCCTCCTGGAATCCCTTGCAAAGTTATCCATTGTGAAAAGTTTGCAGTGCCCTTCACAATGAAAATGTGCTTTCTTTTTCTGAAAACCAAGTAGGTATGCCTGGCTCTCAGGGTCAATTTTTATTGGGGTATTTTGTGTGTTTCCTAATTTGAACGTGCCAACAGGAACATCTACTCCAAGGCACTGGAAAAGTGGCAACATGAATGATGATGTTTCAAAACTTATGAGACACAGAAGTGTGCTGATGAGATTTCTAAAATGAGGTCATATGTTAGGAGGACAGGAAGAAGACAAAATGGGTGGGCAGTGACTAAGAGGTTGTTCGGGAATGTCTGTGGTTATAAAGAGCTATAGAAAGTGCATTGTTCACGTCTATAGTCAATAGCTCTGTGGCAGAGTGACACATTAGACCGAGATACACACAGATCAAGGAGATTTTAAATTCAGAAATGTCTTTCCTTCAGTATCCTCAAGATTTACTCCCAGTCTTGGAGATATAAAATCCAACAGCAAATAAAAGATGTAGGAGCATTTCTTGGCTAACCTTGTGTGTTCTTCCAGTTCCCACAGAGCCTATCCAGCATATTCCTGAAAGCGTCCATAACAAACATCTTTTTGTGTGTTCAATAGGATCACAATATTTATCTTTGACTATCCTGGTAATTGCTATGTGAATCATGTTCACCTAGAAGACATAGAGACCTGCCTACTTCTACCTCTGGAGTATTGGGATTAAAGATGTGTATCACCATTCGCAGTTGCATTGTCTTTTGTTTGTTTGTCTCTTTCTTAAGTAGGTAAGAATTACCTGAACATTTTTGGCAGCCTGTCCTTTATCTTCTATGTATTCATATCACAATAACAAAGAATCATATAACAAGGTTAAAATTCCAATTAAACATAATAGTTTGTTAAAATGGCCTAAAACAATATAAATATTTTTAATAGACAACAGAGTAGAATAATCAGCTCAAATCAAAAAAATATATACATGTATATCTATATATTTACTTAAAACTTTTGTTAGGAAGATGTGGTTGTAGGGAGTGAACCATATGAGTTTGAAGCTCTGGAGTTGATTAATTCTAGGAACTATCAACTTTGTCAAACCATGTATAATTTAAGCATGCCATTCTCTAGGATAATGGATACTAAAATGCACTTAGAAAACAACAAAAAAAAGTATCCGGTTTTAGGTTTTAGTATCTCAGGTTTTAATATTATTTGGTAAAAATTTTCTTATTTTCTGCTTACTTTAGTGTTGAGCAATCAGTCTAATAATAAAAAAAATCCAAGTTGAATTATAGAAATTATTTTGCCTTCTCCCTTCCATGTTATGATGTCTAGATTTAGAATTACATATGAGCATAACAGATACATCATCTGGTGTAAGAAAAAGGAGAAATAGTGTTCCTTGGCCCATTAAGCTGTAGGAGAAAAGCTAGAAAATGAATCAGTTTCTCTACCTATTTTCTCTCTTCCTTCTTTCTTCCTTCCTTCTGCCTTGCCCTTTCTCCTGCTGTTTATAACAAAATAGTCGTGCCATTTATTGATCCCCAAACAAAAAAAAGACCATTCAGGTAAAATGTATCATCAATGCATTCCACAAAGGTACTTCAGGGATTCCACAAAATTTGCTGCTGTTCCCTTATCTCCTTACATGGTTGGAAAGGCTGTAACTGAGGCTGTCATTTGCAACCTTTATTGTGAACTCATTTCTTTCAACAGATTCAAGCTACATATTCTTCTAGTTCTGTGAATTTATTAAAATAAGGAAAGGATAAGTTTATTTTTTACAAGAATAAAGAAGCTATAAATCTCTACAACAAAACCAGTTAATAAAAGGACCTGAGCTGTCTTTCAGCTACCAGACTGTTGGAAAGGTGCCCTTGCTACTTCATAATCTGTTTACTTCACAGGACTGTGAGTACTTCATTCCTCTTTGAATACCTATAATAGGTCACTTCCCAGTAATCGCTGGTTCACTGAATGAGGTTTTCAAGACATAGGTAAACCCTCAAGGTGTACAACTTCAATAGTGCAGTGATCACCAAGCCTGTGTTTTCTCTATGATCCTGCATACAAAACCAAACTAGTGTGTGCTCCACGAGAGGAATGGTAAGAAAAACTATGGTCACACGTAATAGGGAATAAGGAGGAGGATGAAAAGTAGGGGACAATAAAGGAGAAGTAGCAAAATAGAAGGACTAAAATAACACTTCATTATTAAATAACAGTAAAAATTTTAGAATGTTTTTTTTTTGTTGAGTCTACTTAGTATTCACAAGCTTATGTTTTGATAATCCCAAAGAGAGATATTTATGAACAGGTAAATTTACACTTAAGTGAATTCTTGAAGGTAAGGTGGATACTGTGATTTCCCTCCTGAAAGAAGGCAACTGTAGAATGCGATGTGACTCCTCTCCCTGTGTGACTGGACAGAACTGCAGCAGGATGGGGAGGGATCTGCATCACTCTGACTGCCTCCATACTGTCACTGCCAGTGCTGTCATTGTGAGTGCAACTATATGTGCAAAAGTCACATATTTCCGTTAAAAAAATCTGCTTTTAAAAGATCATGGGGCTCAAAAAACAATGCTCTAAAAAAATCTCACTGCTCATACAATGTGGAAAGTTCTTCCATTGTTTCTAAAACATGGGGAAAATGTTACAGACAGGACAACAGCCCAGTGGAAATATGAGAAGAGAAGTAAGCAGTTTGATTCACAAAAAAAGAGAAAGATTGATGTAGCTTGAAAACCATATGGGTAGATGCTCAACCTAATTATTCTGTAAAATGCAAATTAAATAACAAGAAATACATCTGTTTTGGAAAAGCTTATCAAGTTTGCCAAAGATTTTAAAAATTGGCAGGAGTGTGAGGAAACAGACATTTTTATATATTGTTGTTGAGAGTACTTGGCAAAATGCAACAAAAATTTAAATGTACATACACTTGAATAGAGGAATCTCACTTCTAGGAATATACCCTGTAGTTGAATACATACCTGTACAAAAATAATTATTGCAGATAACTAGAGATCCATCAGTAACACGCAATGCCAAGGCATTCTGAACAAGTATAATGGAGATGTGGTTTAAAAAAAAAAGATTTCCAAATAGATTATAAAAACAAAATGTAGAACATAGTTTCACTATTGTTTCTTTTTGTGTGTGAAATTAACTTAGTCACAGTTATGAGATTACAGCTACCTATGGTCAAAAACTCTTTTATGGTATCCTTCATCATTACTAGGCCATTTTCCTAGGACTCCAGTACATTCTGTATATAGTTAGCATTCTTAAAAATAAAATGAAACATGAAAACTTTTTCTGTTATATTATGTTTTAAACAGGAAATTTGAACCAAAGGAACAATTTTTAAATTTTGTTACATGAATTCATAAGTGACAGAGAAATGATATACCAAAATGGCAGGAAGAGGAATACATAAAGCATTTTTTTAATACAAGCAAAGGCTAGTTTGCTTTCAATATACACATATATGTTTCTAATACATGTAATAATAAGTGTATTTGGAAAGCATATGCAATTTAAAAATACTGATAAATACTAAATAATAAAATTCTGGAAAAATAAAGGAAATTAAGGAAAGATTTCTCTAAGAAGTAGAACAACATAGTGAGTGCTGAGAGGATATTTGTTTGCCACAACGGCAATGTTTTGTCTTAGAAAAACAAAATTAGGAGCTCTGCACTCACAGGTGAAACAAAATGCACACTGATATCTTAAATCTTATAAGTAAGTAGACAGATTTAGATGATAAGAGACAATAATGACGTATAGATGGATGGCTCCAGTGGACAATGAATTGTGCTTAGTTCCCCTATTATAAAACTAAGCAAATGCATGATCTTTCACATAAAACACTTGGGTTTCCAGAAACTGGAAACCTAACATAAGGTTAACAGAACATAAAGTTAGTATCATAGACCAGAGGTGAATGTCTGATACCCTTTCTAAGATGGTACCTTCTTTCTAGCTCATCCCTAATATTGAGTGAATATGTCTCCCAAAGGATGTGTGTTTGTGTCTTAATTCCTAGGATCTCAGAATAACACAATTTTTGAAGGGAGGATTCAAAAAAAAAAAAAACATAACAAAAAACCAGAAATTAGATATAAGCAAGGTCATAGGATAGGGATTGGCATTGATCCACACATGCTCATATGTGCAAAAAGTGTAGTAGTTACCCAGAGGTGACACTACAAGGGAGGAAGTCAATGTGAAGGTAGAATGTCCATGCGACTCAAGGCAAGGGCTGCCAAAATGTGAAAAATAGACAGTTTCTAGAAGATTCAGACAAGGAACTTATTTCATAGTTGTAAAGGAGCCTGGCCTTACTCATCCACCCCACCCTAGCATTTTGAGGCAAATTTGCATATTTTACATATCTACATTAACACTAGAAGATTCATGCAATTCCCTAACATGGTTGGTTTTGCTTGGGCACTGCTGTTGCCTTGCAAGCCCCAGGAGCCTTTTAAATACTCTACCCTTTAGATAAGACAAAATTTTAGACTTCTTGTTTTTGTAATACATTTTTTTCTGGATTTTAGGTTAGAAAAATCACTTTGAAATATGGCATTGTAAAATAAGTATTGAAAAAAAAAATCAGGCATCTAGATACTTAACTAGAAGACTTTTCTAAAGGAGCAGCCTGTGGATACACTTGAGCAACTGGAGCAGGAAATGAAGTTGCCTTGGCAATGAAGGATATAGCAGAAGGATAGCTTGGTAGAGAAGAATGCTTTGCCAGAGAAGTTCCACAAGGAGGCCTGACTATTGTGTTCAGTATGGTAGTTTCACTCTTGTTCCAGTGAAGTCTGCACTAAGCTGTGAAGTTGTGTTTTTGAAGAGGAATAAGAAGGCAGAGAAACTGTGGCAGGATCCTTAACTGCTTCTTCTTTTCCTAGAATGAAAACCCCCTTTGTCCTTTGTTCCTGTTGCTGTTAGCATATCACTTATGCAGAGAGATAGTGAATAAGTGGTAAATTTGGTAACAAGTTGACAGTTCGGACTGAATGGTGAGGATGTCAAACAAATCTCAGATGCTCCCATTTCATTAGATAGAAGGTTGAAAAATAGCAAAGTGAGAAAAGAGGCTTGGCACCATAGATATACCATGAAACAAAAGAATTATGGGCATAGTATTTCAGTCATCTCTGCAGCTAATCTAGAATTTTGTAAATGACTTGATCTCATGGGGAATCTGATCTCTGCCTGCACAAGCTATACACAGAAATATATTTCATAGGTGTCCAATCAGAGGAGTACTTGAAGCTGATTTGTTGTGTAAAAATATTTTTGTACACTGTGAAGATGTGTCTTTGCTAAAGTGCCTTCTGATTGATTAAATAAACAGTTGAATGGCTACTAATCTAGACAGGAAGAGGTTAGGTGGAACATCTGGGGAAACAGAGAGAAGAAGAATCTAGGCACAAGAAAGATGCCAAAGGACATGGAGAGGAAATAAGAGGTGCAACATGGAAGAGGTTAAAAGCCATGAAGCAAAATAAAGATTAATACAAATAGGTTAATTTAAGTTGTAAGAGCTAGTGGGACAAGTGTAAGGTATAGACCAAGCCTTCATAGTTAATAATATGCCTCAGTGTCATTTTTTTTGTGACCTGGCAGCCTAAAGAAAAATCCTTTACATTGATTTTTAAAGATAGATATGTATGTAGATAAAAAAATTAAAGATCATAGTGAATGCATATTTTGTTGGTT